GACAAAGTTATAGGTACACCCGGACGGATTCCTGAATAATGTGAATGCTAACACCCGGGTTACCCGGACGTGCTGAAAAATAATACAACCTGGCCCGGACCCGGCCCGGAGCAGTGAGAATAGACCTTAATATTGATCCTAGAAAACGATTAAACTTGAAATGGTAGTTCAACCTTCCAATCATAAATGACCTAAACGATTAAAATTTAATAATCATATACATGCATATAATATATTAAATATACCCGCATAGCCGCATGTCAAGAAGTTCTATCAATGAAAATTATAATAATTGTCAATTTTATGCGGCTATAATATGATCACATAAATATTTGCAGGCATATAATAATATTACTCGGCTGGATAAACTATATGACGTATTATTATTTATTATATATTATATTATGTAATAAACACAATATTTGTTTATTTTTTTTTTTGAATAACATTCGAGCTTATTATAGTATAATTTATAGACGGATAAATAAAATCGATATTGTAAAAAACTGGTTTTGTGCAAAAATTTGTTTTTATTTTTTCCTCCATCATTTTTCATCCATTTCGTTTTGACTATATTTAAATGCTTTGAGAATTGTCAACTTTGACTTCCTAAAGGTAACAAATAGATTCGATTTGTTACCAGAGATATTTCTCAGACATAAAAATAGTACCATTTCTATAAAACGTATACACATACACAAAAAAAGTACACGCATCATGTAATAAAATCAATACAATATATTCATCACTTCGCTTCGAAGAATCTAAAATGTAGTATAATAATATTATACTATTATCATTATTTAATATTATATTGGTTTCGTTACAATAGCAAGCAACTGAATATGTACAACAATGATTTTTATTTATATTACTTTTTGTAATAAATATACACACTATTCAAATGTATCGCGTCATACTATCATAAGTTGTAACATTTGTATTGTAAAATTATTATCGCGACCAGTCGTGCACATCGCTGTCATAAATAACTAAATAAATATATATTTATATATTTGTTTTTATTAAAAATAGATAAATAATTTAAAATCTATAAAATTAATAAAATTAAAATTGGCGAATACTAGGTATATAATAATTATAAAATATAAGAAACAAACAAAAATTGGATTTATGTGATATGAAAGGGGTTACCCCGGCGGCCATCAAATCTTATTTAATTATTATATTTTATTGAAATTTCAGATTTCGCACGGAACAATAAAACAGTTATCATCCTTCGATACCGATTATAATATATTTAGCTATATTGAGTATATTATAAGATTATAACATTAAAAGTATTTGTGTTTTCATTCAGTACAGTTTTATGCGCATTAAAAAATAAAATTATTTTTATTTAATAATTTATTCAAATATTGAGAAATTATTTAATGTATTTTGATTGAAAGATATTGTTTAAAATGCATAATAAAATACTAGGTATTGAAATTTGCAGAATCGAAAATAAGATATAAGAGAATTTAATTGTTTGTCATTTATTATTTCCCAGAAATATTAGATAAATCGTTGAACTTTATTTCATACACAATAATGTTACTTTATTATATAATAATTTACAAGCTGTATATGCACGTGATTAAAAACAAAATAATACGATACTATGTATATGATATCATTATAACATAAATATCCATTAAAAAAGAATAACAATAGATAACCTACATATAAAAACGTTTAGTCACCATTCATTTTTAATATGAGAATTATCCCCAAGTTGTTATAAGTGTCAATAAAAATACTCCCACACTGCATGTAAAATAAAATTGCACAATTGATTTATTATTTTAAAATGTATGGGCGTAATTATGATCCGTCTATATATAATATTAATATATATAATAATACATCGAATAACCATAAATCATTAGACCAATGATATCATAAAAATATTTTAAACAATAAAAGTAGGTACATAAATCATATAATATGTTATGAATACCTGAGGTTCGTTAAACACTGCAGATCTATATCTATACAGGTGCGTTTGCAGTAGGTACAATTGTATTTTGAACACGGTAAGTAAAGAACAAACTTCTTGGGCCCTATAGGTTTTAAGAATGTAAATACACCTTTTGAATTCAACTAAATGATTACGAATTTATTGTATACTAGATTTTTTCGTAACAATATATTTTAGTTACTTTAATTTTGCTTTTTGGTATAACATTGTAATGCGTCCCGGGAGATATTGACCGGTCAGCGTCATTTTAATGGTACGCATTAAGCTATAAAAACAAACTTTTTAAGAGAGAGAGAGAGAGAGAGAGAGAGAATAGGGGTTATCCGTTTTATTTTTTTAGTTATGGAAAATTTATTTGAATAGTATTTTTGAGAGTAAATTGCGTACGAGTCCAAATAACGACGCGTTCGCTACGGTTTTATTTTGATTTTAATATTGTACTAAATAATACCCAGAACACCTTGGAAGTTTTGTTTTCATATCTTTTGTAATTTCCGAGTAATACCACTAAGCGTGATTAGTTTTGGATTCACAGAATCGCTAATCGGTACATGAATTGGGTTAAACAGGGCAACATTTCTTCATACCGTGGTTAGTAGTTGTGACTTGTGATGTTATGATGGATTAATGGTATGACAATATAGTTTATTTTGCACGGTAGGACGTTCGTTGAATTTCAGTTGATCGCAATCGACGACAAAGGTAGATTCCGCTTAATTTGAGAAAAATTAAATCGCACGATTAAAGAAACAGGAGATCCGGACTCCCTCTTTATTAAATAGTTTTTCATAACTTACAGTATATGATCACAACATGACGCCGGCCTGCAGTCACTTACCCCCGGAACACATTGTATAATGTAAATAAGACAGAAAGATATATAATGACACTGTTACATCAATAAAATATTATTACTATACAATATATTTTACGTATAAGAATAACTAATTGATTTGCACTTGTTAGATGGTTTTAGTCAAAATTTACGAAAGAAAAACTCACTATAGACTAAACATTATTTTACGAATTATTTTGCAAGAAAAAACAAATGCAATCGATACTCTTTACAGATATATTTATAACTTTTGATTGATTTATTCTTGAAAATATTAATACTTTTAGATGTCTTATGAAGACGATGTATTTGCTAAATAAAAAATTATTTCCAATAACGTCATTTTCACATTTAATTCCTTTATTTGAGGCATTCGCTTGATTACACTATATACATATAGTATACCGATAATACTTATTAAAAAATGCGCTGTAGTTTGTTAATATAAATATGCTTGTATTGTGATTATTTTCAGTAAAGTTTAAATAATATCACTATAACTTTTTTATAGTTTGCAAGCAATTATTGTTTAAAATTTATTGGATTTATTTTATTCTCTAATAATTGATTAAAAATTACAATCATGTACGAATAGTGCAATCAATAAAAGTTGTGTCTGAGTTTACGTAGTTAAGAAGTCCATTTACATTAATTTTCACAAGTAAATTTAACAACAAATTAAAAAATACAGTATTTAATTATGCCTGATAAAATGATTTTTATGAGAAATATAATTTTTCGTGTGTAGTAGGTAAATGTAGCAAAGAATTAATTCCTATTTAAAATATTTATTTACATAATATTATGTATGGTGTCCACGTAAATCTAAACCTGAGTGTAATGTATAATTTATTGAGTTTTTTCACAATTTTATATAAGAGGTAGTGAAAGATATACTCATCAAAGACTTTTCCTCGCGTATATTAGTAATTGTGTCTCGTGTGATATATTTTATAAATTACCAGGCTAAAGTACAAAGTAATGAATTTATAAATATTATATAATGTACATTTCAACAAAATTGAGTGTAGATGCTGTGAAGAGTAACACTGTACAACAGTATTCTCATTTCGTACTTTAACGAACATAATTTGTAACAACCACTTTGTATATAATATTTAATTATTTATAGATTGTATTTATATATATATATATATATATATATATAAACATTTTTGTATAAATCTGAGAAATATGTTTAAAATTTGTATCTTTATAGTACCAATATACTTTAAGTTTTAGGTATATTGATATTTGTAGAAAAAAAAACATTTATTGTTCAATTTATTATTCTTTATTGAAAATTAATCTTTGATATAAACATATATAATTTTTAAACCATAATACTTAAGAATTAATATCGATCCAAAAAATATTCAGTTTATTGATAATTTAATTACTAAATTTTATAGTGACAAATTTTAACGACATTTTATTTAATCTGTCGCGGTTTTTTTTACCAATTATTATAATTATTTAATGATCATTTTGTAATGTAATATTTTATAATATAATTAGAAATATCAGACCTGACCATTTTGTGTTTGAACATTATTTTGTATTATTGAGCAGTATTGAGTAATTTTTATCAATGAAATCGGTGATTATCGCCGATTCAGCTAATATTATAACGATTTCTTTCAGATGTATGATAATTTTTTTTTCTTATGAAATAAAGATAAAGGTGTACATTATAGATCCATATCCCTATGAAATGAATACTAAATAGTCATTCTTAAGTACCTAATAAATATAGTATGATTTTCTAATTTTAATGTCTTATGTATACGTACCATATTTAACTATCGGTAAAAATAAAAAAAAAAGTAAATATAATAATATATAATATCATTATATAATTGTTATTATATTTTTTAATAATATATCGTACAATTGAATAATTTATGATAAAAGACATGTTAAATTATGACAATATTATGTTGAAAATTGAACGAAAAAAATAAAAAAAGAAACACTTATGACATGGGTCATGGCAGTACAAATATATTTGATTATAATATACGAAGTGTGATAGAAAGAATTGACACTATATCTAGCTGACAACTATGTAATAAGTAATAACTGTTGGTCTAATAAATTACAATTAGTTATTTTAATGTTATTAGTGTTATTACATAGTTGGTTAATATTCTATTTATAAGTTATTTCTGTTAAATTTTGAATGTACCCATACTGTATGGATAATTCAATTATAAATCATGATATTTTCATTGTCTAGTTTATATTAATGAATAACGGGCCTTAACCTTTCATGAGTCATTCAACCCTATTAGACATAAAATATAGTCATGAATCCACAAATAAAAACAATTTTTTATTTTAATTATTATTTAATGATAATTAAAAAAAAAAAGTATTATAAAATGCTATATTTTAATTTTATTGATAACAATAAATACCATAACCGCAGGTAAACCCAAGTCGTCGAATTAGTTTACATTATTAAAAAAATGTAAATATCTTAAAAAATATTCAGAGTCACTCCGTAAAAGCTCGAATAAATATCTACGGCAATGGATCAACGGTTAAGAGAACCTTTGAGTTATATTATATAAGATCGTAATGGTAAAAATGATGTAACTTTTCGTGTTGGAAATATATATCGAGTCTCAATAACGCGATAAAGGATGGGATGACATTCGAAAAATAAAATGAATACAAATCCTGGAAACGTTGTCTCTTCGGCGGAATGGCCGTGGTCATCCATAGTCCCTGCCTAAAGTACAGTGACTCCTCTTGAAAACGTCTCCTGACTTCCAGGCATGTAATTCGAAGTGTTGTATGTGATCAAAGGTCGGGTTCTATTTCTAATGGTTGTTGTGGCTGTTGCCATGGATCGGTTTCCGGGTCGCCGTCTCAAGATTTTTGCGTAGAATAGTTGATACAGCTCGTTGCGGATATTGGAATTCATCCAGCCGTAAATTATAGGGTTTGAGATAGCTGAGGTCATGGCGGTCAGATGGCAAACCGCCAATGTCACGTAAAGCTGTTTGGTTGTTAACGGCTTGGTCATTAAATCAGCGGCCAACGAAAACACGGCCAGCGGAAGCCAGCTCACAGTGAAGACGACAGCCACTCCTAAAACATCGAATTTTTCAACCCTTGTATTAAATAAAACATGAAAAATTTTTCATTAACACATTCGTTGCCGGTGTCATCATGTACTTGACATACATTACATTCACTGGTGACCGCTGTCAATCCATATAGTTGACATTAAGACCTATACATTTGCATTATTATGTTATTTCGAGTTCGGCTTTTATCAGGTGTAATTTATTAATACATTAAAAGATTAGTTAACCCGTGTAGAATTGAATGTTATTTAAAAAATATTTTTTCTCGATTTTATCGCTTTGATTTAACTAAACATTTACACATTTTATCATGGAAATCAAGTGCATTTGAATAATTATGTGTATTAATAAAAGGCAATGTTTGTTTGCACGTGCGCGTGTGTATAAGCAATACATAATAGCTAAGTCTATCGTATTTATGATTTTGAAATTTGGTACTTAGGTACCGCATGGTTATCCTATACCCGATAATAGACATCTTGAAATCAAATTTTTAAATTTTGAATTTTAATGATTGGATCACACAGACATTTGTCATTTATTATTTTTGTTTGTACGGTGTTACCATTAGTTTTAGAATATATTTTATTTTCCTTTATTATTACATAAACAATCTGTACCTCACGGGTACAATAAGAGTATTAGTTAAGTTACGATATAATAATACATGAATAAGGTTGATAAAAGCAGTCACCCTGCAATGATGACACTTTTAATTGAAGTTATACCTACATTATTAGAATATAAAATAGTTTTATGATAGGATATAATTTTAACTTGCGTTTTATACTTGGTTAAAACCACTTAAATGACTTGTGACAAACATTTGTAGTTAACATTTAACGGAGTTTAAAATAAGGTACTTCCCTCTAGAATAAATTGTCCCAAAAGTAGTGACAAACAAAAAGTAAAAAGTGAGTCAGTCAGCGATTGTAAACTGTGCTCGGGTGAAATTTTAAAAATCAATAGCTATATTTTTGCAAAATTATTTTTAATGTATACTTAATTTAATTAAGTATTCATTACAATCATATAATATGAATAATTAAAATTAAAATTAAAATTAAATTAAGAATTAAAAAAAAATAAATATGATTTTAAAACGTAAAATAGGTTAAGTTAAAATATTACAAATAATAATATATTATTGCTACATATTCATTAATTGGAGTTTGACCACTAATATTTTTATTAATTAAATTTTGTAAATTTTCGCGTTTTTTTTTTTTTTTTAGAATGCAATAGTTATTCGATAACGTGTTGGTATTTCTAGACGAAAATAAGATTTCTGTGATATAATTGAAAAAGTGCACAATTATAGAGACTTTAATAATTAAAAATATTTTTATATTTTACAAACGGGGCATAGTTTAAATTGTCGGGCGCAGTTTACATCATACTTTTTTGACATAGATAAAATTTCGGGCGCAGTCTACAAAAAAAAAAAGTCATTTGGGCGCAGTTTACGTGTTACCGAGTCAGTTGTACATTTTTAACACATTATCGGCATGTTCTTAAATGTAACTATATTATACGCGGACAGGGTTGAAAAACGTCTATTATTCTAGAGATGATTTTAAACTGTTTACGAACAATAGAATTTATGATTTAAATAATATTAGTCAATAAATATTGAACAGTCTGCTCACAGATAATTAATTTAATTTTGTCATTAATCATACCTATAAGAAGTAGAGTGGTCCGTTTGTTTCTTTGAAGTTCTCGCTGTGCACGCCTCGAGTCTTTTTGAGAAGCAGTGTGTGCGTGTAAATATGCTGCAATACGAATATGAACCACCAAAAGAACAGTGGCGGGAAGTACTGCTTGAATGAGTACTACTGCTATATTATACGCCACTTTGATGTCGGTCGAAGGCCATTTTTCCCGACAAGATTCGTACAACACTACGTGTTGAAATTTTAATGGTTCGACTACCTGAAAACAAAAAAAATATTTAAGAATTTCAAGATCGCTGTTTCCGCCAATATAATATATTGATATTTGATATTATATAATAATCGAGAATAATATAAGTAGGTCACGGACAGGGGAGGCACAGCTGATAACACACACTCCGTTATATTTGTATATTTATTTTAGGTATTGCATAGGTGCTAACCGCCACTATTTTGTCATATTTATTTTTCGTATTGACACGAATCGCCACAGTTTTTATTATACTGTATAGGTGCTAATCTCCACTATTTTTTGTATATTGCATGTGCGCGAACCAATACTTGTTTTGTATTATATAATATCTATTATTATTATATATTGTTGCTCTAAGGACTTTGCAAAAGTAGCGCTGGCCAGTCTGCGTTTCAAAAATTGCGAGTTTTTATTATTATTTGTATTTATTAATTATTACATATCTCATTATATATATAATACATATATATATATATATTATATATATGTACGTGTACTATATTGAGCCAAAAAGGAGCCGTAATTATTTATATTTTATTATTTTAATATTGAGTAACTCTTTTTTCTATTCGCGTTACCTATTTGTCACTAGTTTTAAGTTTACACACACATACCTACACACTGATACGCAAAACACATGTTATTTAACTAGCATTACCTAGCTCGACAGTATTTGCCCGACGATCTTAATTGCTGCTGTTCGAGCTATTAAAACATTGCACACCCAGCTATTCCACAAAATTTTTATGTTTTAGGTGCTATATAGTACACAAAGTTTTGGTGTCCGGGCATGTGTATTATTATTTATTATTATTCGCTCCCGGCCCGTACAAGAGTGTTATAATAGAGATTTATATGAAGAAAAAAAAAAGGTATACTTAAAAATTTTAATTATATTCATGCCAAAGATATAATTGATTTTTTTAACTATAGGACGTGTGAGTGTTGGTTTTACGTTTATATAATATTTACTACCAAAAAATATATGATATTATCTTAATACTTGTTATTTGCAAATTATAACGTTTCACGTAAATTAATGGTGTCAAATCGATAATAATATTAATTATGGTGACGTTAAGTTTCAAATTTCAATCTATGTATAGATTGCACAGGGACGCCCGGTGGTGCATATGTGCACTACCTGAGAAAATATTTTTTAATAATTTAGACTTTTCAAATAAATAATTAAATATAAACATTTTTTCACAGTTAATTTATAATTTATAACCATGATTATGGCCAAAATAGTATGTAATAAATATCTATAATGAGAAACTGTTGTACTTACTGATGTTAGACGTAATTATAATCACGAAAGACCGGAAATTAATGAGAAACTCGTTATAATATATTGCTGCATATTAATAAAATATTATTATAGTAAAATTTAGGGTTAATCAATAATCACCGACAAAGCCACAAGGGTATGGATATAAAGAATTTTTCGAACAGCAAACAAGAGAGAATGTCGTAAAGTTTGAATTGAGTTCAAGGCGGTAGGCATTAATTTTTAATCGTTGATAATGTGCACGCATCACGCGAATGAGAAAATAAATACCTTATAAGATCTAATAAATAAAATAAATGTTATCTCACCAGTACGGGCAGTACGATCGTTGATGTATAAAAATTTCGTATAATTTTAGGTTTTTTTTTGGATGGGGTGGGGGGGGGGGGGGGAAGAGGGAGATCAAGTGGTGTGGGAAACAAGCTGACACTAAACATATTTTGCACCTAGTGTGGATACTTTTCCGCGGGCGTCCTCGCGTAACCCGCGGGAGCATGTAGGTATGTAATGTTAGGCATAGACACATTTCTGTTGACCGATCATTTCGATCGATACCGGTTTATCACTCGGCCAAACGTCTCCGCCGTCTCGTTTACACGCAGTATAGCATTATTTCCGTAAAACGTTAAACTAGCTTTCACCTGGTAATAAGCAACAGGCGACGTGGTCAGGACGGCCAACAACCATACGGTGGCTATGGACACGTACACCGTGCGCCGTTCGTTTTGCGCGGACCCGCGGACGATCACCCAGTATCGGTCTATGGCGATCACCGTGATCGTGCCCACCGACACCATGATGTTGGTGCCCTGCAACAGCGGCACGAGCTTGCACAGCACCGTGCCCATGGACCACTGGTGTCGCAATATCGACGTCAGCGTGAACGGCATGCACACCAGACACAGAGTCATGTCGGAAACGGCCAAGTTGACGATGTATAGGTTTCGGGAGGTGTGCATCTGAGCGCGTCTGGCCACCACGTAGATCACGGTCAGGTTAGCCGACAGCCCGATGACCATCAAGCCCAAGTAAACTATTATCAGCAAAATCTGTAAAAAACAAAAAAATAAAAATAAAAAACAGAAAACAGAAAAAAAAAAAAACCTCGCAGCGCACACTCGCCGCGCCGTTTCATCATCACACACACTAACGCTATTGTTATTTCGGAGCAACGTTTTATAGATGGTTTTTAGAGTCATTCCGGCTTATGAACTTAACGTACGTTTCCATTATATTTTATGCCCACGAGACGGTAAAATAATATGAATACACGAATAAATGATATGTTTTGTTTCGTTTCATAAAACTTTTGCACAATCTACTTGAACGAATTTGACAGGCGATGAAAACGTTACACTATAATATTATAAAGGATGATCTTCCATACGCGGCGGTGTATACAGGACGATTCGTCAAACATGCTAACACCTATTTTTTTTCTTTTAATAATAATTTATTCGAACAACGATTTTTAAAATTCTCAGCATACTTAAGGCCCACGTTTTCAAATATTTGAATCTTTTATTCAATTTAAGAAGACGTATCTTGGCGATGATACATTGATATAAAACATGTATTAACATTTTATAATTTGTCGAAATTGTCAAGTATAATAAACACAAGATTAAATACCTCTGGCACAAAAATCTACAAACTCAGAAACCATTTATTCAAATTTGAAATAAATTGTCTTATTAAAAGTTTTCAGTCAAAGGGAGTATTCTTATTTTAAAAAAAAACAAGTTTGTATCATCACAGGATTATCTTTGAATGGTATAACAAATGTATGTATATTTTAAGTGTACTTAAAAATTCTAATAATCAAAATTTTAGTAAAAAATGAATGGTCACCTTCTTAGCGTGCTTGGTGAATTGCCCTGTATACCAGCTGTATTATAATAATGGTCAGTGTACCAACCGTGATTATTGTATTTTAAGGTTTAATATACCAATAACACTATATATGTGTACAGTCAATATACCAATCGTAATACTTGCTTTTTTTTAATATTAAGTTTCATACTTATTTATATCATTATAAAATAATGATTTATAAACTGATTTTTTTTTTTTTTTTTTTTTTTAACATGCGAGCGTACAAAAGAAAACAAATGATTAAACTATTTATTTTGTATTTATATCATGAAGTAACTAAATTGCTTTTGAATATAATACATATTAAATGACTGTTATTTAGCGCAACTATTGGTCTACCAAAACCCTGACAATGACAGAGCGCTATTGGTCTATCAACATCAACCCAATTCCAAGCGAAATATTAGTAAACTCCCTACATATTAATTATACAGACATGGATAGCATATTTTTAATTCAATGTGATTTATAACTGAAAAACTTGCATAGTCGTGATATATCAGATGGTATACAAGATGGTACCTTTAGGTTTTATAAAATTATTATGAAAATTCCGATGAAGCGATGAAGTAATAAGGATCTGTGTTCACATTCGATCACTACCTATTTATATTAAATAGGTATAAGTGTATAATTATATTCCACTAATGTCATTCATGATGTATAACACAAAGTTAATTATAAATATATAAATAATATTTAATATTTGGGTTTAAAATATTTAATGCCCATCAATCTAAATTTAATTTTTCTGTAACTACCTATCATCTGTGACGTGCAGTGTATAAAATAATTCAAATTAAGTAATACCTAATAAAAGCTTTTGGTAGAAAAGTAACCAAACTATTTTTCTAAAAATTTAGATATACATTATAAAGCAGTTGATTGGATTTAAAATCATTTTTCTCATATACAAGTACACAACTGGAAATTCAATTATTCATTTTAATTAATATAAATGTATATATTATTATAGTATCTATACATATTTACATCATTAGTCATTACATTAAATATGTTATTGTTTACTGTAAACTATATATATTAAAATAAATTAAAGTTATTTGTAAGATAACACCTTTATATTCAGTAAGGTTATGTTAAATATTCATGATGGAAAATTAATTAGAAAATTATACTATTACCATTCTTGCTATTTTGAAATTCAGATTTGTTAGTAGCCATGACTAATGTTATTTATAGTATTATCCATTACCTATTTTTAAATTAAAAAATTAATACTGTTTGCCTAAACTCTATAATTTATACTATAAGTTTACAATATTTTATCATAAAGATTTTTAAGTTAGATGCAACAAAATAAGTTTTTATCATTGTCATATTTCTTTTTTTTCTAATAATTATAACAATTGATTTATACATCATCAAAGTTATTATTATTATTTTTATTGGTAATCAGTTTTGTGTTTTTTTTTTTTAACTTTATAATATGAATTGAAACGTTAATATTAATATATTATTTACTCGTACTTCGAGAATATAATAAATGTGAATAATTAAAACAGCAAAAAAAATAAAATAAATGTAAATAATAAGCCCAACTAAAACTCATTTCAAAATTGTAAATAAAATTAACAACTGATATAATAAATTATAACTCACTAAGTTTTGCAAATGTATATCAATTTTTATAAATAATGAAATAAAAAAGCTATTAAATAATTTTCCCCAAACAGTTTCCAAACCTTAAACAAGACTAAGTATTATGGATGCTTCAGAATTATATTAAAGAAAAATAAAAACTTATAAAAAGTTTTTTTTTTAATTTGAATTAAATTGAATTACATTTTGAAATAAATATCGTTATTTATCATAAATTGTTCAGAGTTTTATTGCATTTTTAGCAATGGTTGTATTTTTAATTATTTAGGGTATTATTTAAAAGTCAGCTAACATGTATTTTGTTACAAATCAAATTCTAAACTTAAATTAAATTGTACAAACTTCAATTTAAGTAAAATTCTTAAGATAAAAATTTAAATTAAACAATAAAATACATTTAAAATTAAATAAAAAATAATATAAGTTTTAAACTAGGTATTTAAAATATTTAAATGCAGTAAAAGCACTGTTAGTGCTAATTAAAACTTAAACTATTTGGGAATTAGCGATAAACATGCGATAAATTAATATTATTCACATTAAAATTTGTTAAAACGGTGTATTTACCTCAGTATTTTTATCCAAATTTCGGGAATCGCGTCTATGTTCCAGCAAAATAGAATATACTTCTTCCAAACTGAAATTAAATGTTGAGTTCATTTCTGTATCATTACAGGTTTCCATAAATGTACTCATTGTTTCATCCAGAGAGCAAACCATTGAGTCATTGTTTGATGAAGGTTTTAATCCTGTAAATTAATAAACCAAATATATAATGATATTATTATTTTATCTTCTTCTTACTTTGTATATTGAATACACTTGAGTGAAAGATCTTAATTAATTGTACATTAGTCCATACATTTAAACACAAAATGAAAAATAAAATAAAATAATTTTATTTTTATTTTTTAAAACTAAATACTAGTTATATGATACTATAAATTAAATGACTTGGAAAAAGTATAAATATATATGTAACTCATAATAGCGTATGTACACTATTGTATGTATATACAGTAATTTTGTATTCCATTATTGTTAGACTTTTGAAGTTGTTCATGTAATTGGACTGGTCCAACTATTCGTTCACCATATCCATGATAAATCATATTTTAAAGTTGGTTCTAGATTTTAGATATAATATTATAGTTAATATTTACACGGGTATTTTTGCTTTAATATTAGGCAATTTATAATTTATGCTAAAGGTTATATAAAAAATATAAATAATAGTAATTGATAGGCTATAATATTAATCTGTGAGACATAGTTTTTATTTTGTGAATGTTATTCTATTTTAGAATATTTTATATCCACAATTATATAATATTATTTTGAAGAATCGTCAGCAATTCTAATTTTAAGATGAATCACAAATATTTAACTACAATAATATATATATTAAATTTGTTTCATATTTTTAATGTTAAATATTAATTATTGTTATTATTATTATCATTTTTATTGAATAATGAATAACATAAAAATAATTTTTATAATATATCCAAAAATAATATTTCAACTTAGAGATGAATTTTATTAACTAAAATTAAAGGTTTAAAATAATTATAATAATAGTAATAATCTTATTATATTAAGATGTAATAAACGTCAAATCAGATAATTTTTTAACAACTCATTTAATATTAGTGTTAACTGTTAGTATGATTGATTATACTCGATATAAAATATAAATAAATATCACTTTCAGTTTTGAGATTATATTATTATAAACTTGTATTTATATTTATTACCTAAACCTTGACATTTTTAATCTTTTTTGAGCAAGAATTATTTTTAAAGGTAAAAATGAACTTTTTTTAAAATTGTTATTTGGAGTATATAGTATATACTACGAGATGCATACGTATGGTACATACATATTTTGTTGTTTCTATCTTAACTCATAAATTTTTTTTTAAAATTACAGCAAATTTATGAAAAATATTAAAGTATTGAGAAAATATGTCTGATTGGAATTACTTACTGATAATTATAAAATATAATAAATAATATTTAGAAAGTTATATCATAAACAAAAATAAATATAATACGGCTGTAGCCCATAAGCGCGAAATATGACTCAAACGCAACCCAAAAGCGCAAAAATAAATATCCCATAAGTAAAAAAAAAAAAATTATTTTTTTAACAATCCATAAGAGAGTTTAAATTTTACAAAAAACAAGTGTATTTTATAAGTTAGATATAAGTTTATACTGTATACATTGTATAGTTACATTAAATGATTATCAACCTTCACCGTAATTCGTTATGATAAAATAGGATACGATAATACTAAATTTCAACTGAACTCGATCACTGTTGATGTATTTTTGAATTATAAAATTATTATATATTTAATTAAAATAAATAATTTAATTTAATAATTAATAATTTTGAAATGAAACTTATAGTGTAACGGGTACAATATTTATTTTTGCGCTTTTGGGTTTCACCGATATAATATATTTTTTTGAGAATGTTAAATCAACGACTATCTACTATTGAAAGGTGAAGTTTCAATAAATAGTGATCGACTAAATTTTATTAGTTAGCAGATTAAATTATATATCAATAAATATCACAATATTTTAAATATATTTTTTTAGCATATATTTAATTAAGTTAGCATATATACAAAACTAACATCAGGTAGATGCACTTTTTTTTTTATTTAGAAAAAATATAACATTTACAATCTGTGCAAAATAGCACAATACGCAAATTTGCAAAACAACATAAACAAAAACATCAATAAAACGTGATAAGGGAAGCCATCCAGTGATAGGACCCTTTTTTTAATTATATTAATTAAACCTCTAACGAGGAAATCATAGATTCTTTTTTTTTATTAATTTATATTTATTATCAATGTAAATTAAATTTTCCTTGTTATAAGCAAAGTTGTGCAGTGTTAGAAGCACGAACAAAACGACGATAACATAATATTCATTTAAAATCAAACTTAACAATATTATATATCAGATAAACATATTATTATAATCCAGATCTCTTAAAGCTGTACTATGCCCATTTTTCAGTAATTTCTGCACGCATTTTTTAATTTAAAACTTATTGTAAAACCACATGTTAAAACTTTGTGGTCACTCCATCCACATTAATTGAGATTTTAAGACAAATCTTTTAATATACAGAGGTATATAGAATAACATTATATATTTACATTTAACTATGATAATAACAAACTATCATAAAATACATTAATAATTTACATGAAAATAGATCAAACTCAAATTATATTATGTGAACAGTGATCTGCAAGGATATTACGTGGTTAAAAAATTACTGTAGAGAAATTTTGAAATAATATTTTAAGTAACCTGTAATAAATCATTAAACACGATGGATTAAGATTAAAATGTGCTCCTTGAGTTTCAAGTTGCACTATTGATTGATTTTAAATCGAGTGTGGTTGGTTACTTTAAATATATTATTTTTTTAGAAAAGTAATTGTACAGAGAAAAAGGGTAAAAAATCCGCTTAACCAAATTAAATTTTTTATCTTTAACCAATGTTATGATATTATTTAATGAAATATAGTTGCTATTAAGTGTAAAATATACTTATATATAAACACTATCCTAGATAGAACAGATCAAAACAAGCGTCTTTTCGCATTATTTGTATATTAATTTTGGTATTTTTTTCTTAATTTTATATTTTATGAAATTAAGCTTGAAAAGCATAACTGAACTAACTTAAAATTATGATTTGATTAAATTTTCTTTTTAAATATTCATACAATTTGTTTATATGGTGAGGTTAGGTTAGCGTTTATTATTATCAAAGTTTCAAGTAAAATTATATTAATAATGTTTTATCATTTGTGGTATTCATAGAAGTAAAACTTAGAAGTTTAAAATTATTAATATTTATATCGAAACACACCAAAAAGATGAATAAATAACAGTATAAAAATATTTATTTTCCTTAATAATAAAACTTAAGAATAAATTATTATCGACCAAAAACTATTCTTAAATACAGTTAATTATGGTAATAAGTTATGGCCATTTATTAATTTTTAATTGTCTAATATTTGTAGTTTTTTCTCAATAATTTTTGTAAAACAATGTAACTTTAATATTCAAATACTTAAAATAGAATACGATACCTCTGTAAAACTTTTGGAATCTAAATACAATTTTTTTTTAGTTGTATATCCAATTTATATATCTTGTAATAATACTCAGAGTATAAATAATTACGATTTTATATCTAAAAGAATTTGTTTTTAAGTTTTTTAAATTAATTTTACCTTTGAAATAAGTAAATCAAGTAAAATAATTAATAATTTTTCGTGCTATTTAGCTATACGCACACCACTAATCTTAAATCTAGCATAGTAGCATCTATAAAAGTCAATTTTAAATATTATTTATATATATTAGCCAAAATCGTAGTACGAGTAGCTTCAGTTTAGATTAAAAAAAAAAAAACATATAAATACGTTATGCAAATTTATATATAACTACGACTTGTGAACAAGTTTTTAGCGTTGGTCACAATAAAATAAATAATAAATACGGTGTGTACTTATACATATTTTTTCCACCGCTGTAACAGAAACTTGAAAATACATAAATACTTAGTTGAAACAATTTTGTAACTCAACTTTGTTAGTTTCTTAGCTCAAATACAGTTTAAGGTAAGACCCTAATTCCTATTATTATTCCCTTACTGCTCCGTGTTTTTAGAAAACACTAGGCAGTTGAATATTTTTTACAGGAAGTTGCCTTTTTATACAGTATATTATATACGATGCGTACCTATACTGATGACGGTGAAACGATCAATTGTGAAACTTTTCCTGACGCTTCTCACTTTCCTTTTCTACCAGTCTATAACTTGCCTCACCTATGCTCCCAATGATAAACTATTTACTTGGATTTTTTGTTTTGTGCTTGTGTTTGTATATGCATGCATAATATTGTGTATAAGCTATAAACCGATAAACGTGAATCTAACAGGGTATAACGGCCTGGGTACTTATCATCAATGTGCGATGTTTGTTTTTCGATAGTAACGGAGCATTGTGTTTCCAAACATGTCAAAAATGTGCCATCGGTTTCAATTGATTGGATGGGCGCGAGTGAGAAAGAAAAACGAAACAGATAAAGTTTAAAAAAAGTCATTATATGCGACTAAAAAATAATAATCATAGACAACATATAGAATAAATTATTATAATGTATAAAGGATTTTAAAATGTTCAAAAACACGTTTGATTACCAAATAATAATTATATTGAATTATGAACGATAAGTATATATAATATCTATTACTTAATATGAACTTTTTGCTGTTTTTAATGAATTAAACATATTTTTTTAATTGCTTCAATTGAAATGGTATGTGTTTAGATTACCTGCAATAGTTTCGATATTTGTTGTTGGAATAGTTAAAAGAGTATTTATTTAAATACAAATATTATAAAATAGGAATAAAATCGTTGACATGCATTAATTGCTTCCAAACCATTTTTTAACTATAATATGTATACAATAATTTATGGCCATTGGCTTGGGATTTGTTTCATTAATCATTTTACTTTTGAAATATCATATCATATAAATAGTATATCAATTATATTCAAATCAAAGAGTTCGATATATTGTTGAGTTGTATACATAAAACCTGTAGGAATTTCATGTGTAAAACTACTAATAGCTTATCATAAAAGAGTAATTTATGATTTTTTTATCGTAGGATAACTGATAAGAT